ATGCGTTACTTTACTAGTTACTTGAAAAAAGTAATCTGATTACGTAACTCGCGTTACTTGTAATGAGTTACCCCCAACACTGGTTATTGTTCTAATTATCATTCTTGGTGTGAATGGGCCTTAAAGGTGCTATATGTAGGATTGACACCGAGTGGTTGAACTAGGTATTGCAGTCCAAATTCAAAATATTGGAGAGGGTTTTTTTCACCCGGCCCCTCCTCCTCAGACTTGACGCACACGCAGGTTGCCAGATTGACGACACCAACAGGAACGAGTACACTTGACGATGAATGAAATGAAATATGCTGTGTTTCCCGTCAACTGGCAACCCGGGGTGACGAAATACAATTGGGTAAACTGGCAGTGGGCGGGTTTCACAAACCAAAACAGAGACCGACATTCCGGCCCGGAACGCACATTTTCAAAGGAGAATAACTGACTGTAACTTTATTTTTCAGATAATCAAATATGTTAACTTAGCATGTTTCTTAAATATCTGCAACCATATTATGGTATTTTTATGCTTTAGTAGAGTCAAAAACTTACATACAGCACCTTTAAAGTATAGGCGTATTATTCCTTTTTTTAAAGTGCACTCCTTTTTCACAAAGGAAGGGAAGATGTTGCACAGGGTGAAACAAAACAGTTCATAAACTGTATTTAAATGTCCAGTGCGGATCTGCTGATACCTGCAAAGACACAAGGAAATGAGTAAACAGGTAATAAAAATTACCTATTAACCCAGATGAAGAGTTATACCTCTTTCAACCTTTGCTCAAGATGCTTCCATTGTGATGCACTCCGCACTGTAAACATGAAAATCAAAAAATAATAAAAAACACAAAATATTGGATTGTACCAAGCAACAGGTATGTATAAAAACATTACTGTTTATTTTACTGTTATTTCAGTGGGTTTTGACTATATGATAATGCATTTCTCTTTTCAACTGATCAAATGAGGGTCATATGACTGTTGCATTGCTTTACATTGCTCACCACATCCTTGTATTTAAGCCTTAATACTACAGATATGTTAAGATGACATAACATTATTATCGAGTAAGGTTTTGTATACTCTGTGTCTCAAAAGGACTGTTATTAATGTACTTCCACCATGTTGTTGCTTAACTGACCTTGTATTGCTATGACTTTCATGTTAGTCCATAGCAGGAAACTATTTGCTTTTTAAGCAATATGACAGGACTGTGATATGATTTACAGATGGAAAAAAAAAAAATCATAAAAATATTCTCTCTTATAGACAGGCCATCATGGGAAACATACACCACAGAGTTAATATGGTTCTGATCGCATTGGTTATGGCAATGTCTGCACATGAATTTCTCACTCCTCAAGAAAACCAATCAACTTCTTCATCAGAACTTCCAATGAATAGTACTTCAGATGGACAAAACGGTTAGTGCGTCAATTTAATGTCCATTAGCATATATGAAATATCTTTTGATTATTAAGTGAAAGCTGATGTGAACATTATCTAATTCATCACTTTAGTCATATCAAACATAAATCATGCATTACTTTATTTAAATTCACTTATTATTTTTACACATTTGCGTGTGTCACAAATATGGAACCTGTCCATAGAGATTTTTTTTTTGTACTTGTAGATTTGTTTTGAAAGATGTATTGAATCTGGAACATTATTTTAAATATAAGATAATATACTGCTCTAAAACAATAATAGATGGGCAATCATTTCTCTATTCCAGTATATATTTTGGTTTTGAGTTATAGAGACACAGGCTACTACTTTTTGTATTTTCATCAAAAACAATAAGCATTATTAATTTACTATAATCACTTTTGCCATCCTCAGACTCACCGGGAAGAGCTGAAGCCCACTCTGCCTGGCCCATTGTGCTCGGTGCGTTGACAGCAGTGCTTTCCATCGGCCTCCTGATAGCACTGGCCGTGAGGTACCGCTTCTTCCGATGGTGCCTGACCAGAAACAGTCCCGCTTTATTACTGGAGGGAGAAACGGCCAGTCAGTTCAGCCAAGCTGGAGATCTGGAGAGAGAGATCCCAGTGCATGGCATGAGGGGCAGAATGATCCGGAGGGGAGAAAGTTCAGATGATGATGATGATGATGGCTTCATCGAGGATAACTACATCCAGGCAAACGAGAGAGAGAAAGCAGAGGAAGAGGAAATCCAGCAGGAAGATACTGAAGACAGTGATGATGAACTGGTCATTCCAGACACTATATACGCGAACTGATTTTCCCCATGCACCAGATGTCCCCACTATGAGTATAAAGTCTGGAATCACTATGACAGTTTGGACATTTGTATTTCTAATAGATGATGTTCTCCTGAACGTTTGTTCATCAAAGATTGAACAAGTCTTTGAAGGAATATTCTGGTTTTAGTAGAAGTTAAGCTCAATCTTCAGCATTTGTGGCATAATGTTTGTTACCACAAAAATGTATTTAGCATCTTTCTTCCTTTACTTAAAAGTAATCTCGGTTACAGAGGCACTTACAATGGAAATTAATGGGGCCAATCCATAAACATTAAAATACTCAACGCTTCAACTGTATAGCCACAAATTAATATGGATCAAGTTAACATGATTTAACTGGGGGAAAAAACTCAATAACCTTTCTGCTTATGCCTAACCGATGGTTAGATTTAGTGGTGTAGTTACTTTTCTCTTTTTTTTTTCCCAAAAATGGAAAAATTTTGTAAAAAAAAAAAGGTTTAAAACAACTTATTAAAAAAAAAACACTTAACATTTCTTCTTTTAAATCCTCCAAAAATGGGCTCAGTTCATTTCCATTTTAAGTATCTCAAAGTAACCTCAATTAAAAATAAATAAACGATCATTATTATTTTTTGCTAATAAATATAATGCCACAAATGCTGTTGATTGAGCTTAACTTGGATATGAACCCTGAATATTCATTTAAGATATTCAAGAGATAAATCTTTTTTTTTTTTTTGAGCATACATTTGTTTCCTTATGATCACAGTTCACACAACAACTCAACACCTCAAACTTATGAAAATTAATCCATCCATAATAATTGTTAACCATACGATCTGTTCTTCTTATTTGCCAGTGTGGCTTTTTCTTTGAATATCTTTCTAAATGTCTAAATGTCTTAAAAAAAAGTAACTTGCAATGTGTGTTCAGTACTCCAGCAAATGAAAAAAATACCACACTTATTAATTGAACAAACATGCTTATGTACATATATTTCACTGCATAAAATTAGCACAACATTTTTTTTTTGTTTAGGTGAATTAATACAATTATGAAGAGCTCATGACAGTTCACTACATTACACATATACCACTTACATTTAATGCAGCTGTATAAACTCTATCATAGATTTATTCAGCAAATTGTGCATACTCAATGTATTGGTCATTCAAAAAATATAGTGTAATAACTACTCTGGAATGTGTATAGAATTAAAGGGGTCATATGATGCGATTTCAAGTTTTCCTTTCTCTTTGGAGTGTTACAAGCTGATTGTGCATAGATAAGATCCCTGAAGTTGCAAAGACTAAAGTCTCAAAACCAAAGAGATATTCTTTATCAAAGTTAAGACTCTGCCACGCCCTCCTAAAATGGTCGTTCTAACACGCCCCCACATATCTACCTCACTATGTGGAAATATTTGCATAATGCCGCCCCTTTACATTTATTTTGAAAGCTAAAGCTCACAATTATGGTAAGGGGCGTTACATTTCCGACGAGTGCTTGCGGTGTTCGGCCAATCACAATGCACTGGGTCAGCTGGCCAATCGGAGCAGACTGTGCTTGTCGGAAGGAGGGACTTTGTAGAAAACTAAGCGTTTGAGAGACGCGGGGCATAGAGGACCTACAATAATGTACAATATTTGAAAAATAATGTGTTTTTTGAACATTAAAGCATGTCAACATATTCTGTTACACCAAATACACAAAATAATGATCTTTAAAAAAGCATCATATGACCCCTTTAACTGTTGCCAGTTTTTGGCGCCATCTGTAGACAGCTGTGTAGAACAACAGACTTCAAGTCAACAACTTCACTTCAAGTTAAGACAGTCTGACTTTGGAATAGCATACTATGCTTACTTTTTGCCACAGAAAAGTGCAAGTTGTATACCAGTGTGCTAGAAGTTTCTGTTCATTCATCAGATTGGAAATGCATGGTGAAGTTGAACGCACTGCATTCTGGGATATGGTATTCAAAGGAGTGAACTTTGTTGTACATGGCGCATTTTGGCAAATCCAGGTATTCAATTCAAGATAAATTTCCATATTGAATATTCCTACTTGATCATTTTGACTTCCAACTGTAAGTTCCATCTTCTGGTGCTCATAAGACGACACGTAAAATGAGAAATGGCAATGCAAGCATTTGATTTGGAGGCATTTGATTGTCAATAAAGATGTCCTCTAGCCAAACTGCAGGTATAACAGGTGTAAAATGAACACCAATGAAGCTCCTTTATTGTGTTTTACACACCAGTATGTGCAAATAGGTCTTAAAGGGGTCATTGGATGCAAAATTCACTTTTTTGTTTGAACATAAATGTGTGTTGGAAGTGTGTGTACACAGCCATCCTATAATGATAAAAGTCCACCCAGTGTTTTTCTTTTAAATCCCTATTTTAAAATCCCCTTTCTCAATTCAGGGTGTTCTGAGATTCCTGTCAGAATGACGTAGTTCTGCACAGGCCCCTCCCACGATGGTTGATTGACAAGGCCGTCTTACCTTAGACCCGCCCTGAGTGAGCTGTCATCAGTCCGCCATTGTGTCGACTCCGGTGCAGGGGAAGACAAGAACGTCTCCGATTAAGCGATTGAGGTGTTTTGTTGTTGGATGTAATAATGAACATAGCAGTCGTCATTTACTCCCGACATCTGAGCCACTGAAGACGCAGAGGATTAAAGTTACTTTCGTTTTGAAGTGAATGCGTCGATCCCCGATCTGCCTAAATGCGTCTATGTTCGCGCGAATCATTTGTGATCCAGCTTCATCAACAGAAGAAGTGAGTCTAAGGGTTTTTTATGAATCTTTGCAAATCGCCTTTCCTAATAAGGTGCTAGTTAGCCAGTTTCGCGGCTGAAGTTTACAGTCTGCTGGTCACCCCACGGAAGAGAGGGGCGGGGTCAGCAGAGCTCATTAGCATTTAAAGCAACATGGACTAGAATGGCTTGCTGAAAACAAAGCTGTTTTTGACAGGGTAAAAAAGGTGTTTTTTACACTACCATTGAGAAATTTTAACCAAAGTATGTTATAGTCTTTTCATTAAGACCCTAAAGAATCATATCAACTTCTGGAAAATGGGCATCCGATGACCCCTTTAATATCATGTAGGAACCACAGCCAGATGGAATTCTCGATTCTTCTTTCACAACAAATTCGAATGACTGGAAGTTGAATCCCTCCATGGTCGGTTCCTTTGCCCCGTCACTGTATACACTCTCACCCTTCGTCGTCTTCGCCTTCTCGTGTTTCTCCTGCCCTGCACATAAACCATCACTCCATACGCCATCACACCTAGGACCACAGCGCCCCCACTGGCCAGGAGGGTCACACCAGAGAGCAGCATGTCCAGCTGAGTGAGACTGAGCAGCATAGTCCCACACACCACCAGTGCCAAACCAGTGAAGAGCAACAGCACGGGATCCACCGTTCCTCCACTGCGCAGCTGCTCGATGCGTCTGCGGCTGCGTATGCAGCCCATGTCTTGCACTGCAGAGCTGAGCAGCTGCTTCATGAGGACCACCAGTGCCAGGAGACAGAGAGTGGAACCTACACCCAAGCGCCACAGCACCGAGGGCCCCGCGGTGGAGGAGGCGGTCGAGAGGAGCCCCACGCCGGCCGAGCCCAGGCTCAGAACCATGGCCACTGAAAAGCAGTAGCACAAGAGAGACACGTGCGGCTCGTTGAACCACCAAAGCTCCACCTGCTCCTCCACGGCTTGGCGCTGGAGCCACAAAGGATCTGCTTGCAGACGAAGGGGAGCTCTGGGACTCATCACACTCAGGGGGAGAAGCTCCATCTCCAGGGTCTCTCAGATGCTGCAGTCGTCTGGTGTGTGTATTGTCTCAAAACTACGTGGTAAATCAACACATTTTTAAATTAATAACACTTTATAAAAAGGTTCAATGCATTAACATTAGTTATGGTACCATCTAAATTTACCGGTTCTCTTCAAATTAAAAAAATATTTAGCATCACTATATCAACCTAAATTAAAAACAGAATAATTCTTATGGGTTAAATCATGTAAAAATTGCACTTTAAGGAAACAATTGCAGGTTAGGTTATACTTTTTACAGTGCCAGCATGATGAACTAACAATGAACAACATGTTTACAAGATTAATCTAGAATAGCGTTAATTTACAAGTATTAATTCTTGTTTTTTTTTTGTAATACATCAACTAATGTTAATTTATAAATGTTTAAATGTTAAAACGTTTATGTAGAAATTAACATTAAAAATGCTGTTAAAGTATTATTTATTGTTATTTCATGTTAGCTACTGCATATTCCATTCATGTCAAAGGCAAATGGCACATGCATTCCTCAAGAAGTATACAAATTGCATGCTGCCATCTTTCCTTTACAGGCTCTCATTTATTTGAACCAATCAACTGAGCCACAGATGCCATGTGACTGATCACTTTTCGTATTTGAGTTCATATAGACTTGATCGGTGTCGCATCATAGCTGTGTGGGCGGAGTCGGCGTGGGAGGAAACAGTCCTTTCCCCCTCATTGGAAAAGCATGGTGTTGACTCAGAATGGCCTACATAAAATAATTTCTTCCGCTCGACAGAGCAACATACGTAGAAAAACTAAGCCGTATTGGGTTGGACTGTCTGTACAGTATCTGTGACTGGACAAACGACCCAACGGAATGGCCAGAGGTGTCGTTTCCCGACATTTTTGTTACCTGATTGAGTCTATAGGCAAGAAAGAGCTTACTACAAGCCTATACTTGACGGCTTGTGAAAGTAAACATTTGTCGTTTTGTTTTGCTTAATTTTAATAAAGTGATAAAGACTTGAGTAAAAGCCTGTCGTACTTTTTTATTGATATATTAAAAAGAATTTTAACATTGACAAAACAGGTAACATTAAGGTACACTGAAGCGCCTTAAAATGTGCAGCGTTATTCTATGTGGTGTGTGCTGTAAGCCTAATCATTTTCACAAATACATGCCGTAAAATAAAAAGATATAAAATAACATGAAAATATCCCTTACGAAAATTAACCGTGGTTACAACCAAAAACATTGTTACTATAGTTAAACCATGTGGTACAACTGTGGTTATTGGCTACAATTGGTAATAAAAACGCCAAAAAAAACATGGTTGGCCTACTATACTTTTACTATAGCAATACCATTGCAAATTTTTGTAAGGGATTGTGTTTTTTGTGAGATTTATTTGATTGTGATGCGAAGGAGGGTTACTGTAAGCCCCATCAGAACTGGGTGCAGGGGGACGGGACTAATGACCCCCTCGATCATCGCAAGGTAAGTAGTGTAACCTATAGTGTAGCCAATCTGGAGTGCATATAAATATGAATATTAAGTTTGATATGTTTCATACGTTGTATATCCATAACTACTTTCGGAGTTCTGATAATGTGTGTGCTACCCGCTCAGTGCTACCTCCAGTAGTCAAGTCTGTTTATTCGTCATATACATCTTCAGATCGGGTTTTTTTAACTTATTAGAGGTACAGAACGCCACGCAGCATCTTTTCGACATTGCCCAAGCAAAAATCAATCGAAATCATCACAAAAAGTAAAGATCAAGCGCCTAACAAGGTCTTCACGCGTTAATTCGAATGGTTTGTTTTGCCCCACGGCATAAACGGTTATGACGTTTTTGTGGGCGTTCCCAGCAATGTCGAACAAGTCTATTTGAACTCTTCACAGCAGACAAAACAAAACTAGTACAAAGAAAAAACAAACATCACAAATAAAACAAAACCATAATACTTTGTTCTTTTGAATGGTTGTCACGAAAACATGGACCATGTTTGAAATGGAATGCTCTGGAATTGAATAATCTACAGTATGTGTATATTAGCTTACACTTTACAAATAGTAGGCCTAAGTAAATCAGTATGCATATTTACATGTTTAACATTTTAAACAATAGTATGCTACATTGTTGTCAAATTACTTTTTTAATTTACAGAGTGGCATCCAGTTATCATTTTGGAAATAAAAAATGGTTATTTTGAATTTTAAATCTTTGAATTTTACATTTTGTGTAAAAATATCTGAAAAAAAAAAAACACTGGCAAAAAAGGGTGATATGCATTTTAACATTTAAAATTTTTTTTTAAATATAATTAATACGAACAAATAAAAATTCAAATTGCAAATATGTAATTTTCACTACACATTATCAACAACCTGTCAGTAATAAAACTGACTTTTCCAAACTTTAAGTACTCAAAATTTGCTGTATTTTAAGACATATATCACTGAAATTAATAACTTGCAGTTCATGAACGGAGTCAGATGATTCAGTAACTACTTTGATTAAGTGCAGGATTCATCAGACTGATTTCATCATAGAAAATCCAATAAAAGCTTCATAGTTATCATCACATTTGCATAAAGTAGTTATAACTAATGAAAGTAGTTGCAACTAATAAAGTTTCCTCACCTTTCGTCAGTGCATGTTTCTGATCCTTGATTCAGACTCAAACTTTTAAATCATGAAATTTCCACAAATGTGATCATGTGTCCTGAACAGCAGTCATTCGTTCCTGTGGAAAAGATGGTCCCGATTTAAAAAGATACATTTTAGTAAGTTTAATTTTAAGAAACACACCATACCATCCTCAAACTCCTTTATCTTGGCAGTAGTGCAGGACTGTTTACTGTCACGTCTCTCTTTCTTTCTGTCTTTCTGTTTACCTGTCTCTCTCATGCTGTGGTGTGTCATGGTGCAAGCCGACTGGACACTGGTGCCAAGCACTCGGGACGATGACATACTCCCCCGTTGTCTTCTCCTGCCACATTCCACCAGGACAATAAAAGGTTTCTCATTGTCTTCTTTGTGACACTAAACAGCATGTCCGCAAACGGAGAACACACACAAACGCTCACTCTCACACATGTGCACGCCTAGCAGGCAGAATGACTGACACAGAAAAGCAAGGATGTCTTTCAAGGCATTGTGGGAAAAACAATAGGCCAACTGGAGGGACTTACAGAGGGACATCCCACCAAGTGAATCTCTGATGTCACGCCTGCAGCATAATGGACTTTTTGTGACTGTTAGGATGGTGTCATTCACATGACATAAGTTTACTTCGCATCTGCAACAATAGAGCTCCTCTTCTCAGTGTTTATATGTGCTGATTGTCCAGAACAGCATGTGTGGCATGCTATTCTTCATAAACCTCCTTCATACAGGATAATATATGAAATGATATAGATTAACGAATGCTAACTCGTGTCAGAAGTTGACAGTAAAAAGACAGCAAGAAGACAGTTATTTAAAAAGCCCAAATTTTAAATTTTATAAAAAATATATACTATAGCCTATGTACAGGCAAGTATGCGGTAATCCATTAAGCCACGTTAAGAGTTTATGTTTTTCTACAGGGGAGAAAACATGTGAACTTTGCGCGTTCCGTGCATATTCTGGGCTTGTCTGCTTTCCTGTGCGTAATATATTTAATTAATAAACTGTGTACCAGATTTGGTCTTTTAATATTACCATCCTGGTCCATTAGCCTACCTTAAGTGTTTTCTATAATGGTTTTCTATGGGGGAGAAAAAGCTTAATGTGCATTAGCGCGTTGCATTCATGGCTCTTCTGCTTCATTAATAGTTATATTATTAATAAGGTTATTCATATAACATTTTTTATTAGTATTAACAGTATTTATTAATACCGAATTTGAGCCTCCAATGTCACTGTTTTAGTACATTAAGCCACATTAAGCATTTTAGAATGTCCCAAAACCGTGCCTTGAACTCTGACAGGACTTTTTCTGTAAATTCAGGAGTCTGCACCTGTCTTGTGTGGAGTGCCCCAGGGATCCATTTTGGGACCTTTACTGTTTTCCCTTTATATGCTTCCCTTGGCCCACATTTTTCAAAAATACAGTATCTCATATCATTGTTACGCAGATGATTCTCAGTTTTATCTACCAGTAAGGCTTGATACTGCTGTTTCATTTGATGTATTATTGAAATGTGTACATGATATTAAGACATGGCTGTCTAATAATTTCCTGCAGTTAAATGAGGATAAAACTGAGATTTTAATATTAGGTTGTCCTGCACACTTGTCTCCTGCTTTGGAAGCTCAGTTAGGTCCACTTTAAACTAATGCACGTATAACTTCTCTATTTTTTGATAAACAAATTAGTGCTGTTATTAGAGCAAGTTTTTTTTTTTCCATTTGAGATCTATTGCAAAGTTGAAGCATCTTCTTTCAAGGGAGGATATGGAAGTTTTGATTCATGCACTTGTTACATCTCGATTGGATTATTGTAACTCTCTTTATTCTGGTCTTCCTCAATCTTCATTGTCACGATTGCAAGCTGTTCAAAATGCTGCGTCAAGATTTTTGACTGGGTCTAAAAAGAGGGATCACATTTTCCATGTTTTATCATCCCTTAATTGGCTTCCCGTTAAATTCAGGGTTGTTTTTAAAATGCTTTATAAGGCATTGTCTGGTTGTGCACCAAGTTATATCTCTGAACTTCTTGTGCCATATTGTCCTGCTAGTGCACTTAGATCTTCGAGTTACTTGTTTCTAACTGTGCCACGGTGTCGGTACAAATCAAAGGGTGATCAGGCTTTTTCTGTGGTTGGCCCCAAGCTTTGGAATGGTATCCCCTATCATGTGAGATCTGCTCCTTCTCTGGACATTTTTAAGTCTAGACTTAAGTCTTATTTTTACTCTTTAGCCTTTGTATGTGTGTAGCTGTTGTTTTTATTAGTAGATTTGTTTGTACATTGTACAGCACTTTGGATGAATTTATATTGTGTTTAAATGTGCTTTATAAATAAATGTTGTTGTTGTTGACTGTATTTCTTTATACTTGAGTCCAAGTTCAAAATAAAACTCTGAATTGCTACATTGTGAACGCACAGAGCTGTATGAACCACTACAAGCTGTAAAGTAAACAGGAAGTGTTTGTCTGAACTCAACTAGTTTTGCGAGAGAACGCAAATATCTTTGCGAGGGGATGCAAAAGTTTTGCGGGAGAACGCAAAAGTTTTGTGAGGGAATGCAAATATCTTTGCGAGAGAACGGAAAAAAATGTAAAAATATTTTTTCCCCCCACCGAATTTTTTTCCACCACCATGTCCCTTTAGGGTTAATGAAAGGGTTAATCCAAAACACATTGTGAAACAAACACACACAGAACAATATATAAAACTTTGGTAAAACTTTACAATAAGGTTTCAGTTATTAACATTAACAATAATTATATATCATTTATTAATGTTAGTTAATCATATAATGTAATCGTTTTTATATATTTGTGCATTCTATAGATATTTTCCTACAAAGACTGGCAGATACCTTATATGTCCCAGTTAGTTGCACATAACCCTTCTGTCATAAAAGTAGTACAATGTAGTACAAGCAAACTGTAACTACCTTTCATTTGTTTCCTGTCGCATGACTCTTCTTCACACATTCATCAGTGTGGTCCAGCAGCTCAAATAGTGTCATGTAGGCCGAGAGATTCATTCATTCACAGACATAAACAGTAGATCAGTATCAGTGATACAGATTTTTCAGACAAAAGATCCAAGCTACACTTTAACATGTGCTAATACAATTTTCAGATTCAGATTATGGAATAAAAATGTAGGTTACTGAATTTACCGTGTTCATTAACTTGTGTTCAGTGACCTTTCTCAAACAGCAGCATGTAGATGGAAAGTGTCCTGCACAACAAGGAACAGATAAGTTTCAGTAATATGCTTTTGTGATATTCATTTCAACATAAATAGATTTTATGTATTTCTGTAAAGATTTACCTTCATTGGAAGACGGAAACATTGTTCGTCCCAGTCGCACAAGAGAAGTAGACTACAGCACTATTATGACGTTATAACAGTAGTAGAACGTTCAGGAACAATTAAATGAACATCCACTGTAACTGCAGCTCAATCTGTCCATTATGACGCCATTACACGCATGTAGTACAGAACAATGTGAATAATATGGATTCAGTATTCAGTATGGAAATACTAAACAAAAAGCAAAACTTCCAAAGGTTTGTAATTTTATCACGTCAGCTTATTCATTTTCAATCTTATCGTATAAAATTATCCAGGCCGAAACAGGGCAGCAACGCATCGTTCATTACAGAAAAATAAAAGACCACTGAACTCCAAAAAGTCAAAATTACTTTTAGTGACTTTTACAGTTCAACAAAAAGTACAAGCAAAAAAACAAACAAAAAAATATTCAAATATAATGTGATAGGCCATTGTCTTTTCATTTTAATTGGACAGCAATATTCACTCATGCCTGGTAACTGGCAACTGACAAACATGCATTAGGATTGATAAAAATCAAGGTACTTTTTAATGATGTATAATCATTTAGGAAATCACAGATTTCTGTGCAAACTAATTATATAAAATTTAGGAGATACTGTAAGTGTACCATGGTTTTACAAATGAATTTCTCTTTGTTTTTAAATTGCATTACTTTCTATTCTTTTGATATAAATGGCTGATCATTTAGAAATTGCTCTGTGTTCTGTGTAATTTGTCAGCACTCTGGAAGCAACATATTCTGTACAAATCTCATTCATACAGGAATTTCAATGAGTAATTGTAAAAAGCCCTAAATGAGCTAATATCTGAAACATTTTAAATCTGGTCATGTTCTTCATCATTGATTCATAAAGAATCTATGACTTATATTTGATGCTTTATTCATGCATGAAGCACAAGAGGGGCATTCAGTTGGTGAGCGGTGGTAGTTTGGTTCTGGATGAGGGCATCTGGCCGTTAATCTCCTGCTTGAGCCTCTGGATCTCCAGTCGCTGAAACTGGATGATCTTCTCTGCTTCTTCTAAACTCTGCTGCGTCATCAAGCCGTTCCTCCCTGCTGAAGCTGCACCTGAAGCATGAAAGAAATGCAGCTGAGAACCTCCAACATGAACACCAATGATATCATGGTCCATGTTTATCCAGGTTTATCCAAAACCCATAGATTTCACATTGGTCACCTCTCGTGTTAGCAGAGCTCTTGTTGTTCTTGTTAAAGCTGCTTTGACTGTCATAGTTGTGCAGCTGCATACGGACAGCGCGCAGCTCCTGACGCAGATCATTGATCTCTTTCATAAGAATGACGTTGTCCTGGATACAGATGACAGATGTGAGATCTTTCACACAAACAGAAGCAGTGATTGAAGGAATACTGAAGGTGAAACACTCATACTACTGCTTCCATCTCCTCCCCTCTTAGTATGAATAAAATAACCTTTGGATACTGATATACTGGAATCTTTATCTCCTATGACTTTGTATAATCTAATAGGTACTATAAGTACTATTAATTTCTTCAGGTGTTAAAAAATCACTTGTTACAGTAAAATCAATCCATTTAGACATTTACTGTCTAATTTACTGTTAAATCATAACTACTAAACCAGAGGAAAGTGATAGGCTACAGTAGAAGTAACATACTTCTACTTGCACATGTCCAATTGTCAGGTCAGTTTTACTGACTGAGACTAAAGATACTAATTTCCACATTAACTGCACATTGTTACTTGTTTCTCTCACCTTCATGAGCTTTGTATTGTTGACCTGGAAGACGTTTGTGTCCCTGGTGAGCTGGTTCTTCAGTGTGGTGATAATCTTCTCGTAGTGCTCCCTCTGTCTGTGGTTTTCCTTCTGGGTATCTGTGTCCACCGCCACTTTCTCTACCTACAGTCACACACCACACAAGCTCCATTCACTGGAAATCAAAACAGCATGAATAATGACCCAAATGTAT